TAGGCACCTGCGGAGGGCTTTAGTGGCTGCAAAGTTCCTTTGACTTTGGAGAGAAGTCCTGAGGTTTGCTTTTTGCCCTGAAAGCGAGGGGCTCCTGCGGATCAGTGGGTGGGAGTCTTATTTTCTCCAGCAGATGGGGGTCCTGATTGCCAATAGAGAGGGAAGTAAACAGACCGGAGGAGGTAACAAACTAATGGGGACGTGTGGCAGGGCTCCTGGTAACTTTCTTGCCCGTATTCAAGGCGCCCTTCTTGGGACGAGCAGTTAGAGTGCTTAAATGGAGATAATGGGCTGTTGGGCTTTCTTCTTTTTGCTGCTGTTTGCTTCTCGGGTAGGTTAAATGGCTTTTGCTGTATTTTACCTCTCTGGAGTAGGAATTACTTTTTTTTTTTTTAATGTGTTTTGTGACTTATTGACAAAACACCTGAATGTTGTGATTTCAGAACGGGGAGCAGCTGCTCCAGAGTGTAGGACTGCAACTCCAAGTCCTAGGCAGAGCCCCGTTAGCTAAAAGGGAGCAGCCAGGCAGTCTAGCTGCAAACCAGCAAGGCTGGCCTTGATGCTTTCTTATTCCGTCCCCTGTTGCACTCCTGGAAAGGTACTCGGGAGCTGGACTCCTGGCTGCCAGCTCACATCTCTTAGCAGCGGGCTGACTCATTTCCTAGGAGATTAGAGGTGTAGCATCACTCATTACCTACTTCCATAGCCTGAAATGATAACGCTGACCTGGCCCACGCAATCCCAGCTAATATCTCAGGAGGAGTTTTGAGCTCTCAAGGGTTTTGGTCATAAAAGGTAAGGATAACAACAACAGATGTTGTGCTTTCTCTTGTTTGTGGTTTCCTCGCTGCCTCCTGTATGCGGCCCCTGGCTTGTAATAACTGCTGTAGTGGGTGTTTTTGAGACACAGTAATGTTTTGTGGAAACAAATCACTTGCTTTCATCTTGAGAGCAACAGTGATTGCGCTGGGGGAGTGTGCTCTATTTTTCATGTCTCCGTCTTTCTTATTATTTAAATTAATGTGAGTTGCAGTTGTCATGAAAGTGAAGGATTGACAGCAATTAACTTGCACAGGCTCAGTGCAAGGCAGGTTCTGCGCAGCCCCTTCCTACCTAGTTCTGTCACTGCGCTGTGCCTTAGAGTTGAATTTTGATGCCAGCTCTGCCCTTGCCCCCCTTCTGCCTTGCAGGCCCCCTGCTCTTCCAGATTGGAGTTTCCCAAGAAGAATGTCTGCTGGTTAGTTTGGTATTTGTTATTTATTACCAGTGGCATGTGCTGAGGAGATGCTGAGCTGGCCTCAGACTTGTCCAGTAGATGTGAAACGTAGAAGAAATAAATTATACAAGTTTCAAGCCATTCTTCCCACAGCTTGTTTCTAGCTCTCCAGAATCTGTCCCTGCTTCCCGTGCTGTGGTGGCTCTGCTCGTGCTAATGGCTCACAGAGGCCAGGCACGAGGTTTCTCCAGATGAGTGTCACCCAAAAGATGCCTGGGCAAAAGGAAGCTGTGACACCTCCAGAAGTTCCTGGGCCCAGCAGATTTTTTTTATTATTTTTTTTCTCAGCAATCACACTTCCAGCAGTCTGGAACCGTGAAAACATCACACAGCCCACACATGGGCAAAAAATAATAAGGTCAAAGCTTCTCATTTCAAGACTGTCCTAAAAAGGTGTGTGCAAAGTAATGACAAGTGCCAAGGAGGCAATGCTAACTGTTGCTGGTGCTGACAGTTTCAGCATTTTAAAACGCTGCCTTGACACCCTGAAAATTAAGTGTCTGACTTTTTTTTATTATTATTATTCTGAGAGAAATTACTGTCCACTAAGATCTGGTCACTTTTAATGCCGGCTGGCTTTTAAACAGACTAAAATTAACTGTTTTTTTTTTGTTGTTGTTTTGTTTTGTTTTTTAATTCACAGGGAGATTATTTCCTACCCTATTCCCCTCCCTCTCAGCCTTTCCTTGCCCTCCGACCAAGGTGGCAGCTGACGGCAACCAGCCATTACACTCCTAACAGGATTTCAGCCTTGAATGCCCTTCTCTGCCTCCGTTGAAAAGCCAGATACGTCCATCTGGCCACATCTTCCTCCTCTTGGGCATTTTGGTCTGCATGGCCAGATCTGTTTGTATTTTCTGAGTGTATTTGATGCGCTGCAAACTAAAACGACTTGACGGCTTTGGAAGGTGGCAGGGTGCACGTGTCCTCACTGCAGCTCCGCTGCTGATGCCCAGTCGCGGCTTTGCCCGCTCAACCATTTGGTCGGGCATTGACCGCTCTGCCAGAGCCTCCATCTGCTAGACCTACTTCAGCTTAGCCCAGAACAGGCCTTTTCTTGGTTTTTGTGTGGCTTTTTTTTCCTGATGCGAACCCCAAGCTGTGGGCAGCTGAGCTCCACCCCAACTGCTCTCTCATTCCCCCTCCTGAAAGAGAAAGGAGGAGAAAATGCGATGGAAAGGGCTCAAGGGTTGAGATAAGGAGAGGGAGATCACTCAACAATTATCATCCCGGGCAAAACAGACTCAGCATAGGGAGATTAATGTAATTTATTACCTATTGCTAACAAGCTAGAGCAGTGAGAAACAAAAAATGAACAAACAGAAAAACAAGAACCCCTTCCCCCCATCCGCCCTCTTCTACCTCCTTTCCCCTGAGTAGGGCAGGGGAATGGGGGCTGCGGTCAGTCCCTGAGGCTTCATCTCCTCCACCCCTGCTCCCCATGGGGTCCCTCCCATGGATGCTGTCCTTCCCAAACTGATCCCTCATGGGCTGCCCACAGGCTACAGCTCTTCAAGCACTGCTCCCACACGGCTCCGTACCATGGGGTCCATCCATCCCCCAGGAGCAAACTGCTCCAGCACGGGTCCCCCACGGGTGGGTGGCAGCTCCCCCCAGACCCCCTGCTCCTGTGGGGGCTCTCCATGGGCCCCATTTTGCTGTGCAGAAAATCCCAGGCATAGGGGCTGTGATAAATGAGGAGGCAGGAAATGGATCTCTTTTACCGCCAGCGAAACTCTCCTGCACCCCTCAACGCGATGGGATCTAATTTTTGACATCATCAGTCTTTTCTAATAACGTTCATTTTGCTTTGTTCTGTCCTCTCCGACCTCTCCCTTTGTGTGGGGATGCACGACTGATGGCTTACAGTGAATCACTGATGTAAAAATCTAGCAGGGCTTGTGTTTGTCAGGGGATGTTGAGCGAAAGGGGACAGTTTTCTGCTGTGCTTTGCTTTACCCGGTGCTGTGCTGCAAGGCAGATATCCCTGCTCTGAAATTCCTCCTCTCCTGGGAAGGGGACCCAGGTGCAGACAACTGTTTCCCCAACATGCCTTGCTTTGGTTGCTTCACCAGGAGCTCAGCCGTCAACTCAAGCTCCTGCACAGCAGACTAGCTTCCAAATTCCCTTCTCCTTCCCTCTTGGTGCCAGTTAGAGCAAGCTGCTCAGGGTTTTATCCAAGCAAGGTTTGCATATCTCTAGGGACAGAGATTCTACCTCCTCTCTGGGGAGCCAGTTCCTATCTTTAACCTTGCCAAAATGAAAGCTTCTACCTCATTTCGAGTCAGAGTTTTGCCCACGTAGCAGCTCTTGTCTGCTGCTTTTTGCTGTTCACCGTGCACCTCTGAGAACAGCCTGTCTGTCTGCTCTGCACCTTCCCACTAGGTGTTTGTCGACAGCAATAAGATCTTCACTCATCTTTCTTTCACTCTTGTGCTGTCCTTGTATGTCAAGTGCTTGCTGCCCTCTGAGTATCTTGGAAGCCCTCTGGCAGCCTTGCTCCTTCCTCTGTGTCAGTGGTATCCTTGTACTGCGCAGACCGAGATTGGGCTAGTGCTTGTGAGACAACATCTGAAGCACCGTATATATATATAGAGAGAGAGAGAGAATCACTTTTTTTCCACTTACACGGCCATGCTCTTGCTAATATAACCCAGGATAAGGTTGTCCTTTGCTGCAAGAGCACACCATTAATACGTATTTAATCTCTTGAATCCCCGTATCTCCTGGGCTGCTTGATCCCACCGCTTTCACCCATCCAGCACATATCAGGGTGGTTGAAGCTCCCCACCAGGGCCTGCCAAGAAGTGGGAAGGGGAGGTGGCTGTTTACTCTGTGGTAAGCAAAGCAGAAAATGATGTTGTTTCATTCCTCGCTACACACACATTTGGATGCTGGGGAAAGGAAAAAATAAAACAAAATCAGAAGATTCCCTTTTAGCCAAACTCCCTCACCTCCTCCTGGGTGTGAAGCGTGGAAGGGGGACGTGATGTGAGGAAGGAGAAGCAGCCACGGCCTGCCCTGCCCCAGGGAGAAGGCTTGGAGGCCTGCAGCCACCAGGCCCCCAGGCACAGAGCATCACAGGTGCCAAAAAGGCCGTTCATTTCTAGCTGTAGCTCCTTGAAGCAGACGTACCCCTGTAAGACAGCTCCCAGAAGAGAAAATTAAGGAAACTAGAGGAAGTCTGGTGCAGGAGGCTTTCCTGGAGATGCTGTTTTGGTCTCTTCGTTGTGTGATTTTTGACGTGAGTTATGCTGGTTTCCCATCGCTGTTGGACTTTCTGGGGGTGCTGTGTCAGGTGCTCTCCCTAGTCGATGCTGGCTGCTTTCTCACAGCCCGAAGGCTCTGCTTTTTCAATGTTTCCTGGCTCAACTGCGACCTTGCCTGCATCTCTGCTTCATTTTTCCTTTCCCCCTCCTGGCTGCTTCACCCCATGCATACTCCTGAAATCAGACCGCTGCTCCCTGTATCTTTCTCCATTCTTTTTTTTTTACGTGCCTGCACCATCAAAAGGTTGTTGCACTTGAATTGATTTTCTTGTCTACTGAGAAGCCAGGACCTTGTACTTGGAGCACTGATACAGTTCAGAAAACCAGGTAGTAATGAGGAGCACAGCCTGTAAGAGGGGTTTGTGGCTGCCTCTGATTAATAAGTAGACAGGTTAACAAGTCAGACCAGCTGTCCTCCAGAAGTAACAACGTCCAACTTTCTTTTGTCTTCACAGTTCCACCAAAGATCTCCAATATCTCCTCGGACATCACCGTGAATGAGGGCAGCAACGTGACCCTGGTTTGCATGGCAAATGGACGTCCTGAGCCTGTCATCACCTGGAGGCACCTCACCCCGACAGGTAAGTGACCCAACAGGACTGTACTGTGCTGATGATTTGCGAGCTGTGCAGTAGTTTTCTCTTACAACATTACTGAAAGTTTCAGTAGCAATTCAGGCAGCTGTAAAGAAGCGGCAAGGCTCATAAATGCACTGCAAGCATGTTTTGCAGCATGACCTCCAAAGCGATAACCAGGTTGTCCCAGGGAACAACTGAAATTACTTCAGTAGATGCTCTACAGAATTGGACTTGTAATTCTGTTTAGCTTTGGTCTTCATCTAGCTGTTTCAATCTCTACTGCTGGTAATGAACATCAAGGGGATGGAGAAAAAACACTGCTGGGGAGGGAAGGAGAGAGAGACAGAGAGAGAAGGATTTCTGTTTAGACATTACATGGAAGAGTATCTTTCAAAAAAAACAAACAAAAAAAAACACGCTGAGTTTATTTCCCATTGATTTGCCTTAAAAGGGAGAGGAAAGTAATGGCACAGATGATATTATATTACTCTCCACTTTGGCAGACAGTGTTTCTGTGTTTTGTGAGTTGAATAAAGGAAGTGTTTGATCTGCAGGATGAGTGAAGAGCAGGGTGGAAGCAGAATTGTTCACCAGCGTTGTTCTGCTATCTAAGTGCACCTCCCATGTTTGAGGACATGGCAAGCTTGGAAGGAGAATGTCCTTTCAATAGTTAGACTCCATGGGGATAGCAGCTTGGGTTGCAAGGAAACCTTCATCTCTTAAAAAGTTATCCCTGGGATGAGAACAAGAGGTGGGCTTCTCTTCTTCTGCCTCATCTCCTTTGAGGAGAGAGCCCTTTACTGGATTTTTTTTTTTGCCATGAGATATTTTTGTCATCTGACGTGGATGGAGAAAGCATTCATTAGCTCTATATGAGTAGCATTCTGTGATGTTCCCATATCTACAAAGGGTTAAAGAGGGCTTGAGGTGTGCAGAGTACAAGCTTTCTGCACGTGGTAGAGACAGTCCAGCTGTCTCACTGCAGTTCAGCAGCTGGAAAGGGAAGAGTTGCACAAAGAAGGTTAAGGAGAGATGGGCAGAACGAGATACTGGAACAGGGCCCAATCCCAGTGCTGCATCCAGAAGCACCCGGATTTGAGGTCTGTGGTTCAGACTGGGTTTATTCAAATTTCCTCTCTCATGCCTTCAGCCAAACCAAAGTCCTCCTGAGCTTTCGTGTATTGGAAAGCCAGATACGCAGTTTGTGTTTTTGGCCCATTTCTAGCAATACTGTAAGAAAGAAGATGGGTAAAGACTGCCAGGAAGAAGTGGGAAGGGCAGAGCCGATGGGGGGAACACTAATATTTAGTGATATCATTGTGACTACCTGACTTTCTGATATTTTCAGTATTAAGCACAGTTGTGCCATTGGCATGTATGAGAAAACAGGTCCTATCTTTGTCACCTTTAATTATGTGTACTCAAAATTTTCTGACTTTGGCAGTTCTGCTCTTAGAGTTGATTTATTACTGAGTCGTTCATCCTACTGCTGCTTCAGTGTTTTGGTCATCCACCTCACTCTTTCTTGTATTTCAGTGGGAGATGCTCCCTGGCTATTCTGTGAGTGCAGCCTAATGTTGTCTGAATTAAGGGATTTACAAGAGGACTAGATTAAATCTTGATGAAAACTAGGGCCTGATACACATCAGCTGCATTGTTCAGCACAGCCATATGAAGGTTCTTGTCCTGACTCATTCATTTGGCTGCATGCTCTTGCCTTTTTTTTTTTTTTTTTTCCCCAGTTGTACCGCCTTCTCCATTGTATCAGACAGACTTCTTCTCTTTCTTCCTAGGGCTCCTCAGAGCATATTTCGACTCTGGCAATCCCTTCTGGTAAACAACAGGACTGGGGAATCCCACCCCCACTTCAATTCCAGTGTCGGTTTTCCGGGGTCTGTTTTTCAGTCTTCCAGCATGCCCCCCTCACACTTTTCCCCCTGTGCCATGTGTCTCAGAGGCATTGCCTTGCTAGCATCCATCAGTGCCATCTCACTGGCCCCCTTCCAATCCATCCTCAGACCACCCCTCCGCAGTGAATCCTAGCAAGCATCCCCCCCTCCTAAGCAGCTAGAGCTGGGGATGAAGGACAGGCAGTCCCCAGTCTGTCACTTCCACGTCTCATTGCATGTTGTACTCTCTCTCTTTCTGCATCTCAACCCATCTGTTATCTTTTACGCATGCAGAAGAACTGCTTTCAGCCAGACATCAGGTCTTCATGTAGCACGTAGCCCAGTAAGGCACATGGCCCAAAATGGGGGACACAAGGGTTTCTTTTAAATATTTTCCTTGAGGTTGACGATTAATACAAATCCCAAATCTATTCCAGAGCTGCTGCAGTTAGAAACATCTGTCTTATCTTGGAATCTCCTCTTTCCAGGATTGTGAAGCATTTTGGCTCCGTTCATGCTGGTTTTGAGGACATCTGCTATGCATCAAAGAGCTATTTTAGACATTGTAAAGGTTTCTAAAATCTCTCTCTCTCTGTGGATCTTTTTGTGGTTAAACTCGTGACTGCAGAATTGGAAGACCGAGCGTTATTGAGCTTGTGTAGGAGGTTTTGAATGGACAGGTTGTGAAATTAAACCAGCACTGGGGGGCGAGAGGGCCAAATTACTTTTTCTTTGTGCACTCTCCTGAAGGAGTTCATTAGCAAATTTGTCTGCTGTTTCTTTCATTCATTGATTTGGTCAATAGTGTTTGTTGGCTAATTACCTGAGTTAGAACCGCAGAAATGATTTATTTCTCGTTGGCTGGGAGGTGGAAGATACAAATGCAAAGTGAAAGCGGCGTAGCTCCTTATGCAAAGAAGGCAGGGATGCATGCAATGGTTCATTTAAATGCTGCTGGGCCTCAGGAATGATCGTAGCCCACTCACCTCTCTAGGAGGTAGAAAAGTCACTTTAAAAAATACTGTATCCCTTCCTTTGCTGGTCCTTCAGTGTGTAATTGAAGGAGGCATTTTTCAACTGTAAGGCCCCGAGCCCTGAAAAAATCCATAGGAAAACCTCCTCTCCTTCCCCTGTGAGATAGCTGAAGTGTGGCTGTGGTTGTTGACTGTAGTGCTGACACCTGGGGAGAAGGCAGATAAGGGGGGAATATTTAATTCAAATGGCAAATGACAATACGGATCAGCTTTAATTCTAGGCAGTGTATAGTAATGAAAGTGGAAATCACATTCCTTGGAACGACGCAAGTCCTTGCACTCCTCCATTCCTCTTCAGATGGCTGACTAACTGGGTTTTGACAGAGCAGCTGAAGAAAAAGTCAGGCAGGCCCTTTTCTTTCTTATCTGACAGGTTATTATGCTGGAGGATCCGGGCAGCGGGGTTCAACTAGTTACGGATAGTTTAATAGGCGTTGCCTGGGAGCACGAACAACTTCATTAGCTCTTCTCCTCCAGCCAGCAGAGCTCTCTTCAGGGACTGCTGACCTGCGGCTTCCAGCAGTGGGCCAGCACCTCCCTGCACAGCCTGATCGCTTCCCCTGCGACTCAGGATGCAGCTGTGGGCTTGTTAAGCCTGCCGTGCCATGTGGCTTTCGTCATCCCACGACGTGATGTTCAGCCATAACAGCCCTCTAAGCTGGTTTTATTGGGAAACTGTGGTTTGTTCACTCAGAGCGGGAATGAGTATTGGTCATTTCCAGTACAAACTAGATGACCTAGCAGTTGTCAGCATCAGGAGTGTTTCACTGGAGGATATCCTCTAGTCTCTCATCTCTTGAAAGGGACAGAGTCCAGATTCTCCCCTCCGTGGCTTTCTGTAAGGAGTGGGTGCTATCCTGTTGTTTTCTTCTCTGTAATATTAACTCATAGCCTCCATGATCCATGTCCCACAAAAGGTATAGATTTTTTTTTTCCTCGCTGAATGCAGCCCAATCAAATTTCCAGTTGTTGTACATCAGCCTGGACAAGGTCCCAGCTCAGGGCCATGCATCGTTCATCATGCTGGCAGGTTCTGTGTGGGCTACCACGGGCAGCCTACCCACCTATGGCCAGTCGTGTTATGAGATGCTCTGCTCTCTCTCATCATTTATCATTCCTCATCTCTCCATCTTTTTCAGAGCCATGCTCGATGCTTGGTTTTCTGGAAGAGCTTCCTGAGAAAAATATGAAAAACAGAAATTCGTGTTTGTTCATATACTTATCAATAACCTCCCTCTCAACAGAAGCCCTAAAGAGTGGCCCCTTGTGAATCAGGTTAGCAGCAATGTGGACATGGAGAGTTGTTGCAAGGTTTTGGCTCTACCAGGAGATCTCACTGCCAAGCCCGTTGTCTGGGTAGAGAAACAGAAGAAAAAGGTAGCTCCTGTCCTGAGGAGGTAGTGGTCATACTGACAGAAACAGTCCCATTCGTCCTTGTGCTGCTTTCCTACAAGGCACTGGTGGGTAAAACCTCCCTGAAGGTCTTGCTTCAGGGTGCTGTGAGATTGGCACCCAAGTGTTGTGGCATATTGATCTCTCTGGGTTTTATCATAAGGCTGAATGACTGGGACCTACTGGTTCTGCATAACCAGTTGAGTAGCAAACCATTCAGTTTTCCTATAACAGCGTGAAACCTGTGTCAAATCATCAGGTATTTAATTCCCAATCCAACTTCCCTCGCCTCAGCACAGCGAGGCAGTGAGATGTGGAAGAGAAGAGTTTGGATTCTCTCACATTCCACCTGACAGTCTGAAGATACACACTTTGGCTCAAAAAAAAAGGAGCTTAGTTATTACAGCGGTAATCACAGCATAAAAAACAGTCTAGAGCAAAGAAGATAAGTATTGATTGCAACACCCAAGTTTCATGTCACAGCATAAAACGAAAGGAGATGGGAACGCTTGTCAAATATGCCAGTCTGATTCTCCCTAGAGGGTGCTAGAAATTCTCATTGAGTCTTAGAGAATTTGCCATAACAGGGGAAGTTTAGAAGGAAGAGAGAATACAGCAGTGCCTGCCTGCTCTGTGTAATTGAGATGGTGTACATATAATATGTTTATAAACAGCTGTAGGACTCATT